AGAGGAACACATCCAGTGTACATCTCCTCTAAAATTTGCATAGTGGCCATTATTTACAAGCATAATGAACATCACATATCTATTTGTCAATGGCCGTTCAAATCACATATCAACCGACGACATTATTTGTTAGTATATCCATAAAAAATTTAAGGTTTTCCCCTCGAATCAGAAAGAGATAACATCAATTGTTGGCAATTTAACTGAACCAGAAAAATGGGGAACAGACCAAAATACAAGCACATTCACCTAGCTGATGTTGTCACATTCACCTAGCTGATTCTATCACATTCACCTAGCTGATGTTGTCACATTCACCGAGCTGATGTTATCACATTCACCTACCTGATGTTGTCACATTTACCTAGCTGATGTTGTCATATTTACCTAGCTGATCTTATCACATTCACCTAGCTGATGTTGTCACATTCACCTAGCCGATTCTGTCACATACACCTAGCTGATGTTGTCATATTAACCTCGCTGATGTTGTCACATTCACCTAGCTGATTCTGTCACATTCACCTAGCTGATTCTGTCACATTCACCTAGCTGATGTTGTCACACTCACCTAGTTGATGTTGTCAAATTCACCTAGCTGATGTTGTCACACTCACCTAGTTGATGTTGTCACACTCACCTAGCTGATGTTGTCACACTCACCTAGCTGATGTTGTCACATTCACCTAGCTGATGTTGTCACACTCACCTAGCTGATGTTGTCACATTCACCTAGCTGATGTTGTCACACTCACCTAGCTGATGTTGTCACACTCACCTAGTTGATGTTGTCACATTCACCTAGCTGATGTTGTCACACTCACCTAGTTGATGTTGTCACATTCACCTAGCTGATGTTGTCACATTCACCTAGTTGATGTTGTCACATTCACCTAGTTGATGTTGTCACATTCACCTAGCTGATGTTGTCACATTCACCTAGCTGATGTTATCATTATTGGTCATCTTATAACATGCTTAAAAGCATTTAGAATTTCTAAATAAATTTTTGGATCTTATATATTCCAAATAATGTGCCAACATAACACCATGATTGTCTTGACGACACTTTAAAACACCCGATCACCCTTGATTTTGATATGATTCCTACAGGTTGACGACACTGCATGGATGCCATTGTCAAAAAGAACAAATTCCTGATATAAGGTGAATCCCTTCCCCATATAATCGTACAACACGAACAACACAAAATAATTAAAGTTTGTCTTTTAAAGTTTTTGTAATAAAAGGAATCTACTCACATTTTTTATTTTTCAAAATGTAAACTTATAATGGACAAGATATACTATTAGACTCCTCTACTAACCAATTAAAACAGATTATTATGAGAACACCAGAAAAAAAATTAATAAAAAGGACTACAGCTTTGAAATTTTCAAATCCTTTTTTGACTAGAATCAAAATTGAAACATGAATTATCAGCTGACCACAGGATATATCAAATATCTGACTTAGCCAAATTGTTCATGATCATTTGATGTGAAATGAAAACCAACTTCATAATATTACACCTATAAATAGGACAATCAGTAAAAGTTTGGATTACAGGGTTTGATTTCTGATGTAGGAATAAGTTCTCTAACAAGGATTTTATCAAATCTTTGGTTAAAGTCACAGGTATGTGAAATTATTGGAAAGTTTATGTTTTAATATAATTTTCTAGAAATCATTACTGACACTGCACCAACTATACAGCTCTGATCACTTCAAAATCCAGACTTGCCCTATTTTGCACAAGACAGTTGCAGAAGTAAGCGTGATATTAAGAAGATGAAAAATAAAAAAACAAAATTGATACAAAAATCATTGACACAGCCAAAATTACCATCAACAGGAAAACTATTGTAAACATCAATTTATGGCAAGAGCTCATATTTATGGCAAGTGACAATTGTTTAGGTAACAAATAATCCCTTTTGACATGTTTATAACAAAGTATTTAAAACTTAAATGAATATACTTCTGCAGGCGGAAGTATTGGAATGGACAAGTTTGGTATTCATTGGCCAGTTTAATACAAAGGTTAAAAAAAAAAAAAGGAAAATTATCCAATTTCAATATATTATTTTAGAGAAGATATCAAAAGTGTTATATTTATATGTACCAAGAGGATTGGAAAATGACATAGAATGTATTTAGATTTACAGTAAAAATCAATTTGTGGGGCAAGAAATTTTTCACATCATGCTTAAAATATGTTAAATGACACGACAGTATCACTGATGAATTCATAAATAAAGACTTATATATTAATTATTCAACCATTTTGATTCTTAGTCACGTGATCTATATCACCATGTGATAAACTTTGATGAGGCAAATGTCAATTTCACAATAAACAACAACAAATACATCATCTTCAACACAAAACAACCTAGTGTTATTATCATAAACAAAAAGGTCATGCCCTTGAAACAATCCTAAATTTATACCTGCTATCATGACTGAACGCATTTAAAGTTCTAAAAAGTGCATTCTAACTAAAACTATTGATTGTAAGTACATATTAAATACTTCTCACCAAAACCAGCTGGCAAGGAATCATCAGTGATTCTAGACAACAATGGATATCAACAAGTATACAGGTCATAACTCAACACATCAATGTAACATCATATAAAAATATTAACTTCCTTCATATGTCTGACACCCACAAAAGTCAGCTCACTACATCAGCAAAATAATGTGTGACAAAAACACAAGCTGTTCACGCTGAACAGTAGATACAAAAGAGGTTCACAAGGTCATTACATAGGATTCAAAAATGATACAATCACTAATTAGGATGGATTTTGGATTTCTTCATTAAAATGGCCGTGATAAGAATAAGCGGTATCTGTCCTGAAAGAAGTCCAGGGGCCTCAACACAACATCTGACACTAAGTCAGGAGTGGGCTTATTACATGATTATAATAAGTCAAGGAAGTCATTAAACAACCTCCGACTGAACGTTGGGGGGCGGCTTATTACAGGACAAAATTTGTTTGTAATTTTATTGAGCAGGAACAGCTTATTATTAGATATGGGCTTATTGTGAGATACATAATGTGTATACATAAAACTTGTTACTCCCTGTATCTATCTTCATCAGAAAAAATTTAAGACATTATTTCAACATTATTTTTGGTTTTACATTTACCAATACAATGGATTCAATACAAAAACATTTACTTGCTTAATCTAATTGATCAAAGTTTATGTTCAGCAACAGTTTTACATGAGAAATAAAGTCTTCCGAGGATTCACTATAAATTCAGAAGGTTAACTTTCTACAAAGCTGAGATCAATCTACAATTTATTTTCATGAGTTTTTTTTCAAGTTTATGCCTTAATACCATGGGTCCCAAAGAGAAAAAATTACATATAAGCAGAAATTCTATGAGGACAGGACTCAGGACTCGTATGTTGATTTCTGGTAAATTACAAATCAGTCAATAAAAATGGCAAAACTAAAAGTAAAAATCAGAGAGTCCTAAAGAAAGGTCATGACATCCTGAGAAAGTAAAAATAAAACAACCTAGGTTGATGGTTTAATTTATGCAATTATGATTTTAGAGATAATTTTACAAATACCTTACTCCTTGCTTGTACACAAATCATTCCTACATTTACGTTTATAGTCACAGATATTCTACGTAAGAATCAAGAATTTGGGAGAATTCTGTGTGACAGACTCTACTCAAGATCCTCAACTAAGACAATCAGATCAGAGATCGTCCAGAGTGTAAACATGCAGATTTTGTTGGGTTTTTTAATCAATATGTGATTAATCAAAATTAGTTTTAAATATAAATTTATTAAAGTAAATACGTACCTAATCAGTGATTTTTATGAGGGAATTTTCAAAACAAGATTTACCAGACAGGATTTCTAAAACCATGAGGGCAAGTTGACTCATAAATCATTAGATCTCAGACTCTGTTAACGGGAATGTATGTACTGAAGAATTTCAACAGACATTTTTAATGATATGTAGCATACTCTCTGGGTTCACTTAAAAAAATCACTACAAATTAAGTAAATTTAGATACTGAAGAGATATCAGACACTTACATTTCATAATATTCAATGTCACATATATTTCATAATTTTTTTCACAACAGTGGCCTCCTCCCCCCACCTTATCCCCATCCCAGGGAGTGATCAGTATTCCAGAGAGTACAAAGTACTCTTCTTTAAAAAATGAAACAACACAATAAATCTTGAAAAATAGAAGTGATTTATCAACCACATTTTGGATGGAATCAAACTGGAAATCTATTATGGCATAAGTAAAGTTATCCTGCTCCCCAATCATCATTGACAATAAAGTAAAAAATATCATTGGGATTTCATTTCTGCTGATTTTCTCAGTAATAAAATAATTTTACAGTTTAAAGGACTTTGGTTTACTTAAATCATCAATAACTGTCTCTATACAATCACTGTATAAAATTGATACCAAGTCAGTTCATCTCTAAAACAAATGAAGTTAAATCTATTTTAGAGATCCTAGTCAAGTTTGTCACAACTATCTGCTCTTATGTCTTGACCAAAGAAATCTCTTGATGTTGCAAAAACATTTCAAGTGGCCTGACTGCCACAAATATCTTGATGTGGCAGCACCAACTAGAGTGGCCTGTCCAACCAAATCTCCTGCTATTGCAACACCAACTACAGTGGCAAGACTACCAGAAATTTCTTAATATGGCATCATCACTTAGAGGGCCTGACCAACAAACCATCTACTGTAAATTCAAGGCCGATAACCATCAGGTGTTCACAATATGTAATCTTTCTTTAACCCCACAATGGCACATCTACATAAAGGAACATTTTATGTTTCAATCTTTCCCATAGAAAGGTGTTTTGTCTATTAAAAGTCCCTCAATTCAATTCATTCAATGATTGTATTTTCTATTGTTGTTTAAAGACATATGTTATCATCCATACTACCTTATCTTACTGACTTTGTACTGTACAGCGTTGGCAATACTATATTAGTACAGTATAATTCCGTTATCGATGACTTTATCAGCCTCCCGCGTGAAGCCACACTTGAGTCTGACACCAGAAAACATGAGGAGAAAAAGGTTTATGAAGTAGAGCCCAGTTGCAGTCACCAGTAAGTAGAATGAGTAGGCGAGATTGGCGTTGTCCTTGGTGGTGAAGTCTGCCAGACGATCCTCCAGTGGTAGGACATTGTAATTGTAGTAACGGAAAAACAATACCAGGTACATCACCATCCCAAGGGCTGAGAACAGTACTGGCAATGTAAAGAAGTGTCTTATTCATCAGATCATTTACATAACACAGCCCATCACGAAAAAAAAAATTGATTTAGAATTTTTTAACACTGGTTTATCACCTTATTCAATAATTCAAATAATTTTCTAAAAATAAATCATAGTCTTTTACAATATTAATATCAAAACCAGTAAAATTAAATATTTTATCACTCTCATTGCTTAATATGGAGAAAAAGAGGTGGGGATAGGTTGAACCTGGCTTGGGAAAGGTTCACCTCTAATTGTGGAATCTAAAACCACTTGCCTTGGCGAAAGGTGAGTACACCATCCACTGAGCCATTCCCCCAAAAGTTAAGACTTAAAATCAGTACTATTACAGGTAATACACTAACCTAGGTCTTGTATGACCTTGATCTATACACCACAATCTAGGTTTTGTATGACCTTGACCTATACACCACAACCAAGGTCCTGTATGATCTTGACCTATACACCACAACCAAGGTCCTGTATGATCTTGACCTATACACCATATGTAAGTCTTATATTATTTTGACCTAAACACTAAAATCTAAATCTTGTATAACCTTGACATGTATATACACAACAATCCATGACTCAAATGACCCTTGACATATACACCACAATCTAGGACTTGTATGACCTTGACCTACACACTAAAATATAAGTTTGTATGACCTAGATCTATATATATACTAAATCTGACTCGAATGACCTTGACTTATACACCACAATCTAGGACTTGTATGACCTTGACCTACATAAACGACAATCCAGGTCTTCTATGACTTTGACCTGAACATCACAATCTAGGTATGACCTTGGCCTCTACACCATGATCTAACTGTTTTATGACCTTGACCTTAACAACACAGAACGGTTTTATGTCTACATGTGATATAATACATTATATTTGTACTTGATTTGAAACATTAATTTAAGCTGTAGAGATGTATTGCATAGATTTCAATTATTCTACAATATTGAACTTTGAAAATTTTCTGAAGATTTACTTACATGCCAAACCATTCCAAAGGTAAAGGCCCATTGGGCCTGTGATGGTTTCTATTGGTTTGCCAACGATGTTAAAGATGGAGAATCCGATTGAGACCAAGCCCCAGGCCATGCCGAGCGATGACAAGACGATGGTGGCTACCCAGAAACCATACGGGAACAGGCCAAACTCATACAGCTCATCTTTAACTGTAAAACACACAGAACAGGTCAGTAACTGTGGACACCACTTTTATTTCAGATTTTTTGTTACATTTACTTGTATCATATAATTTACTTGTATGGTGGTACTAGCAATATTGACTGGTTATAGTATGTGAGCTGACTAACATGGTACTATCTGGTGATTAAGTCTCACTTCACACACCATTAATAACAGTCCTATCAGTAATCAATACATTCCTGTGTTTAATTATACAGAACTTTATCTTAATGATCAAAAACTTAACATTTACAGTATTTTTGTATAAACAAACAGAGCCTCACATTTGTAAAAATAAAACATGTTTAAAATACTTGACATTGAGAAAGTACAGTCTCTCTGGATTATAAAGCTGTTTTTTGCAAATTGAACTTATAGCAGCAATTTACCTCAATGTAACTGGTACACATACCAAGTTTCCTGTTTCTTGCTTAGCTATAGCCCAATGTATTTATCAACAGAGCCATGTAGTTATAGCCCAATGTATTTATCAACTGAGCCCTGTAGCTATAGCCCAATGTATTTATCAACAGAGCCATGTAGTTATAGCCCAATGTATTTATCAACAGAACCCTGTAGTTACAGCCCAATGTATTTATCAACAGAGCCCTGTAGTTATAACCCAATGTATTTATCAACAGAGCCCTGTAGTTATAACCCAATGTATTTATCAACAGAGCCCTGTAGCTATATCCCTATGTACATTTCAACAGAGCCCTGTAGTTATAGCCCAATGTATTTATCAACAGAACCCTGTAGTTATAGCCCAATGTATTTATCAACAGAGCCCTGTAGTTATAACCCAATGTATTTATCAACAGAGCCATGTAGTTATAGCCCAATGTATTTATCAACAGAGCCCTGTAGTTATAGCCCAATGTACTTATCAACAGAGCCATGTAGCTATAGCCCAATGTATTTATCAACTGAGCCATGTAGTTATAGCCCAATGTATTTATCAACAGAGCCCTGTAGCTATAGCCCAATGTACTTATCAACAGAGCCCTGTAGCTATAGCCCAATGTATTTATCAACAGAGCCCTGTAGTTATAGCCCAATGTATTTATCAACAGAGCCCTGTAGTTATAGCCCAATGTATTTATCAACAGAGCCCTGTAGTTATAGCCCAATGTATTTATCAACAGAGCCCTGTAATTATAGCCCAATGTATTTATCAACAGAGCCATGTAGTTATAGCCAAATGTATTTATCAACAGAGAACTAAATAAGTTACAGGACTTTAAAGACTACTCAATAAAGAATTTTTACCACAGGGCAATAACTGTGTAATTAAGGAGATGCAGGCCATGAATATGGAACACTGCACATCCTCTTAGTATAATGAATGAATACACCAAGTTTAATTATCCTAGCTATTTTAGTTATGTTTCCAACACAAAAAATTCTAATAAAGGGCAATAACTCTGTAATCTGTACTCTGTAAGCAAATTAATTAAGCTATAGACCTAAAAATTCCACCTAAAGAACAATATTTATAATTAAGTGGTTGAGGGCTGTTATATTGATGTACTGCTCCTTGTCTTTGTATGATCGATATATACACCTGACTTAAATGTGGGCTAAGTTAAACTAAAGACAAGGAAGGACAGATGGTAAGGACAGACAAAGTGGCAAATCCAGTAGTTTCTGTGTGGGCATAAAATTTACAGAATAACTTTTCACGACACAGCTTCTAAAATAAGAAATACAATTATGTAACACTCTGTAATACGAACTTCTTGAGTTTTATCTAGTATTCTAGCCTTCCTCGGTGTGTTATTGATTTCCTCATTGAAAATGACATTGAAAATATATTAGTGTAATGTTCAGTCTATCTATAGCTGTAAAGCTATAATCTGTGTGATAGCTGTGTATAGCTTCCTCTTTGTTTATTGATTACTTGGACAACATGAGTCAATCATCAAATTTATGATACACAATCAAAACTAACCAAGTGAGGGAATCAGGAAAATATCTATATATAGATCTAATTCAAACAGTGATACCTACAACACATATCCTGTAATAAGGCTGGGGAGGGGGGATACCCTATACCATCAGTGTTACATATCCTGTAATAAGGCTAGGGAGGGGGGATACCCTACATCATCAGTGTTACATATCCTGTAATAAGGCTAGGGAGGGGGGATACCCTATACCATCAGTGTTACATATCCTGTAATAAGGCTAGGGAGGGGGGATACCCTACATCATCAGTGTTACATATCCTGTAATAAGGCTCGGGAGGGGGGATACCCTACATCATCAGTGTTACATATCCTGTAATAAGGCTGGGGAGGGGGATATCCTACATCATCAGTGTTACATATCCTGTAATAAGGCTGGGGAGGGGGAATACCCTACATCATCAGTGTTACAAATTCTGTAATAAGGCTGGGGAAGGGGAATACCCTACATCATCAGTGTTACAAATTCTGTAATAAGGCTGGGGAGGGGGAATACCCTACATCATCAGTGTTACAAATTCTGTAATAAGGCTGGGGAGGGGGAATACCCTACATCATCAGTGTTACAAATTCTGTAATAAGGCTGGGGAAGGGGAATACCCTACATCATCAGTGTTACAAATTCTGTAATAAGGCTGGGGAGGGGGGATACCCTATACCATCAGTGTTACATATCCAGTAATAAGGCTGGGGAGGGGGGATACTCTACATCATCAGTGTTACATATCCTGTAATAAGGCTGGGGAGGGGGAATACCCTACACCATCAGTGTTACAAATTCTGTAATAAGGCTGGGGAGGGGGATATCCTACATCATCAGTGTTACATATCCTGTAATAAGGCTGGGGAGGGGGAATACCCTACACCATCACTGTTACAAATGCTTTAATAAGGCTTGGGAAGGGGGATATCCTACATCATCAGTGTTACATATCCTGTAATAAGGCTGGGGAGGGGGAATACCCTACATCATCAGTGTTACATATCCTGTAATAAGGCTGGGGAGGGGGATACCCTACATCATCAGTGTTACAAATTCTGTAATAAGGCTGGGGAGGGGGATACCCTACATCATCAGTGTTACATATCCTGTAATAAGGCTGGGGAGGGGGAATACCCTACATCATCAGTGTTACATATCCTGTAATAAGGCTGGGGAGGGGGGATACCCTACATAGTCAGTGTTACATATCCTGTAATAAGGCTGGGGAGGGCGGATATCCTACATCATCAGTGTTACATATCCTGTAATAAGGCTGGGGAGGGGGGATACCCTACATCATCAGTGTTACATATCCTGTAATAAGGCTGGGGAGGGGGGATACCCTATACCATCAGTGTTACATATCCTGTAATAAGGCTGGGGAGGGGGGGGGATGATCTGAAGGGAAATACCCCACGGTATATATCCTGATATAAGGTGGAAGTGGTTGAGAGGCGCAGTGGTAACACACTCGCCTTTCACCTAGCTGTCCGGGGTTCGACTCCTGGAATGGACGTGAAAAGGTAAGGGTCACCTGTCTGAACACTTGGGATTTCCCCCACAATAAGACCCCTCGCGCACTTACATCCGGGTCAACAAGAGTATAATATTGGTATAAGCTGAAATAACTTGTTTGGCAATTGTTGTAAAATAAATAAAGTTTATAGTTTATAGGTGGAGGTGACTCATAAAGTTTTTCTCAAACCTGATTGGGCTTGGTCTTATCAAAGGACCATGTATTATCATTAATGTTTAGGCATTTTTACTGCAATTCAATATAGTGGGTTTTTTTTATGTTACCAAGTACTTTTTCTATAAGAAATTATTTCTAGATGAGTTTTTCAAAGAAATCTAGTGACTGTCTTATAAACTGAACTTTCAGTAAGTTTGAATCCTTCTGTAAACATCAAATGAATTTGCTATAAAACATTACACACAGCCTAGCTATGTTATTATGTTAAACTTCTAACCATGGGCGTTGCCCTGAAAAGCAGACTTGGTCAAAAACATTGCTATGAAATTTCAACGAAACTGATTCATCCATCCCTCCTCTAAAAATGAAGTTTAAAACAGATTATCATGATGGCTGCTTTGGTTGTTAGTCTGGATACAATCAACAGTTTAGAAGATTGTCAATGAAAACCCTGCCTTATCATACAATACAGGTGTATGTTCTAAATGTAAAAGTAAACAATCCACAGTCAATGATTGCATAATATCAGGGTCGGTTATTAGACACTTTGATAAATTATGTCTGTCAAAAAAATTTCATAAAAATATGGTAGCTGGCTAAGTTCAGTGATAACTCCATGATTTACACTAATTAGGTTTCTAGTTCTGTAGGTAAATACAATTGAACTTGATAAGAGTTTTACAGACTACACACAATAAATCCCTGTCAGAGTGTAATTCTCCAAATTTTAACAACATGTTTATCACAGTGGATGGCACTTAATCATATTCATAAAGACTTATAGAGAATAATTTTCAGCAGAGAGGGGAATGATCCATTTTACCTACAGGTAATTATCTCACAGTTCACCATTATCGTACTGACTGTTCAAGTTGTGGGTCCTTTGTGAGAACCAAATCATAAATGTTTTAACTGTCTATTGGAAATCATTGAAAGTCATTTTTTGTAAAACTACCTCATGGTAAGCATTACAAGAACTCTGTTTGGCTCTAAATACATCATGTACACTTGTATCTTTAAATTTTTATCCAAGGTACTATTAGCTGACCATGTGTTACATTACACTTGCCTTCCAGCCACAATATAACACAGGTCACCTACAGTATAATATATATATATAAAGCTACCTGATTGTACCTAAGATATAGGGCAAGTCAAGGAAACGTAACCAACAAACTACCTTAGGTTAAAAGTTTTTACAAGGCAATAAAACTGACATAAGTAATGATGATATGTACTAGTGTATATATTATTACATATAACCATAAGAAAATAAACGAAATATTGCTGTTGTGTAAATCAATGAAACTAAAAATAGAAATACAGAAACAGAAAAAGTACAATGAGAACATGCAAGTTTAGATTTGCAGGTTAAGAGTAGATATATATGATATCTATGTTCCTTGTCACTAAGTTGGGGAAGAGGGACTGAAGGGCTTCTTTTTTTATTTCAGTGTTAATGTAAATTATATCACAGTAAATTACAAGGAATCAACAGCTAGTATTTGAAATATATATCATTTTCTACATGATGCAATAATTGTACATACTTAATTTTTGAAATAATCTGGAATAAAACTTGTTAGTTGAGAGGAATTAAAGATGTTTTTGTTAAATGCACATGCAAGTCATTTACAGAAGAGCCAAAGTTAAAAAGTATGTATTTTATAGAGTATACTCTGAGTGCAGTATCTCAAGATTTATAGGTGCACTCTCAAAACTTGACTGTAATTATCAATTTTAATGGAAAAAAACAAAAATGTGTTATACATAGCAATTTTATAAGGCCAAATAAAGTAAAAATGTATTTCTTTTACTCTGGAAAAACACTAGAAAAAACATGGTATATTAGCAAGGCCATTGAGACATCAAGTTTAGTAGACCAAAACTGATGTCTCACATCTTCTACAAATGTTATGCTTCATTGAATGCTACATACATAGTCATGCATACATAAATATATACATTTATTATTTTCAAAGACATCACCAAAAGAAAATAAGTGTCTTAGCCAGAGCAAGGACTCAACAGCACAGACCAGCCCAATTCTCAGCTTTCTGAGAAACAAATCACCATGGGTAGGTGGCAGTATAAATAATGCATGTCAGATTTTTGCCTGAAGTTACATAGATCAACATTCTAACCAGTTGAGCTATCGACAGCAAATATGACATTATATGACAACATATTTTGTTCAATAACCATGTTAATGATACTACATATTGTAAGCCTTAAAAACAATACTTAAGCTGAAATTTGATATCAGCTACAACAATTAACATTACAGATATTGACCTGATGACTGAGCCAACACAGCTGAAGCGTTGTTGTAATCATCTATCACCATCTCAAGCTTTTTCCTTTTCTCAAGGGTGGTGGTGTTGTACAAGACACAATACCCAGCAGATCCATCACAGACAACTGTTACAATATAAAACCAAACAAAAAGGGGAAAAAATCAGGCATGCAAACTAAACAAAACACAAGTAAAACCATTATCTAATATAAAACTAAACAATAAACAAAACAGAATCAATGACGATAATGTGCCACTGTGTTCTCAGATATTGCATGCAGTTACTGTCATTAATTCATGCACATTATTCATTAATTCAATTATTCCTAATTCATAGGGCTTTAACATATCCTTGTCTAGTAGTTTGTGATATTTCTTCCAGCCAGTTACGATTTTCCTCATGCAGTCCATTGCTTTTAGAACAATTTTTTTATACTAATAAAGAAAGGGTAATTACAATTTTAGCTTTATTGTATTTAATCTGAATTGATCAATACCTAAATTAAATTGGTCATGTACTATATAAAGAAAAACTGACAGATGAAATTAAAGAATAATCTTGATGACTTGGTACATTAAAAAAAACAATTAAGTTCACAAGATAATGACGAAAGATAAACCACACACACTGGTGATTTAAATGTCACCTATCTGAAATTCCAAAAAAATTAAATTAATCTTGAAAATTGGCTTCAGAATTGGCCAGGTTGCTTCCACATGTACAGAAAAAGGCTAAATCCCAGAGGTAAAAAATGTCTGTTACTTCATAGGCTTTTTTAAAATATCTTAAATGTGTATATACGTGTAGGCCTGATCCTCTATATTTCGCTAACATCACTGATAACAGATGAAACCTGTAACAGCTACATTTGGTATGTACATTGTAGTTACTTTAATCTAAAGTGGTTTATGTGTATATGGAAACACAAAACTCTGTCAAACATCCAAGTATACTATATGCTGTAAGTTCCGGTCCCTCGCTTGTTGGTGTGAAATACTGGTACCACAGACTGCAGCTGTGGTAACCAAAGCTCTCCACGGAGACACCAATACACAGGATGTCAAGAAATACGTTGTTGTTGAAAGTTTCATGATTTGACAGTTTTTAGGAAGCAATAAGATAGCATAATTCAACAAGTGCAAGTATACATTAGGGGAGTTTGTAACATCTGAAAAGAAGTCTTAATATACACAAATTCCATATTTTTTCTATCAAGTAACTCAGTAACATTTTGATAGGTTTTGAAATCAAAATCAAAACAAAAATCAAAAGGATGGCAGCCATTATCTTGTGCTTTTTTCAATTCATGATGAAACAACGTTGTTCATATGACATCAAATTTCTGACTTGTGTAGCCGATGGAAAATGATTCAGGGAATATTACATATACACTGGTGACAAACATAAAAAATATTCCACAGGATAATTCACTGGATAACAGATGGGTTACAAATTATGTGACAAATTTAGATATTTTGTAAACAGTTTGCTTGTTCAGTACTTTAATGATCACCATGCACCAACAACCAAGTACATTTGTAAACATTCAGAATTTATTAAAGCATAATTGCCGAACATTTATTATTTGTATCACACTGAAGGATACATATCTCTTACTAAAGATCAATTTTAGTTTGGCATGAAAATACATTGTATTGTATCAAAACTTTCATAACAGAATTATTGAGATTTTAAAACCAACATACATAATAGCATCTAAAGAATTAATAAAGTTTAGGGGTTAAATTATTTTTTTTAATTTCTATTTTAACTATTTTCATTAAATGTTTCCTATCTCTGTAAAATATTGATGTCCCAAGCTATGATAATTAACTCATTTTAAGGTAATTCCTGAAATTATGATGTGAATCATACCAACTAACAGATCATGAAAAAATTAGTCTTACAAGGTACATTTTTAACTGTTTAAACACAGCAAGCTATACATATGTTATACATAGAGTATAAGATTCAAAAGAACAAATGTGGGCTGGTTAATAAACTTCAGAAGGAAATTTTGTTTTGAAAAAAAAGATATGTTAACCAGAGCACTTATGAATTGTTGACAGTCAAATTCATTGTTTTAATGATGAGATAAATGTGTTAAATTTAAATGACTTTCTGTATGATATATACCAAACCCAATTATGTAGAGATGTAATAAAACACACACGATAATCTATAAATCATATTTCTGAAACAATAGTAACTTTATATACCAAAGGAGTCTGGCGTTGATGAATTAAAGTGTCAAACTCCTTTGTATATGCATGCAGTAGCACTCATTTTTACACATGCTTGTCAACAAACAAATAGATTATCACATGAATGTACCTTCAATTGTTTGCTTTCTCGCTCCAACTCCATAATTAACATATCTCGTTCCTGAAAATAATCCGAAAGTTATATTTCCTGTGAATTTTAGAGTTCCGTCTGTATCGACGGTAGCATTTCTAATAAAAGTGTTGTTTGTCTTCTGTGCAAAAGCTGACACCCAGTTCTCTGTGACAAAAGCAGCTACGACAAGTCCTATTGCGGCTAGGCTTACGAATATCGTTAATCCTACAAATCCTTTCTTTGTTTCCCCCATATCTGTGTAGAATTTCCTTTATATGTTTCTGCTGAGAGCTCTGGTATTCGCCGGCAACGCACAGCTTCATAAAACAGATAACGAAAGTTGATAACAAAACTGTCACACCCAAGGGAAGCCGGAAGTTGTAGCCCGGTAGTAAGGACGCTTGAAAACCTGTACAGGGGTTGTAAGCGCTCAGCTGACCTTGAAATGAATGTGACCGCAAGGAAGAGAAACGGCACCCGATAACGGCCGAAACGAACACGTTTTAGAAGCTCTGAAGTAGACAGTGGATTCCGTGACTAATTTGTAAGATAATTACATATAATCTTATGAAATGCATGTAATTTAGCGTGATAAAGAAAATTTAGTGTGCTTTAAAAACTAACTGAGTGATGACATAGCGAGACGATTTGTCAAATTTGTGTTAAGGACAGGTACACACGTGCTTATGACACCCCAGACCTTTAGTAGCTACTTTTAAATTCACGGTCAATCATTAAATGACATTGTTATTTAGTTAATGCCTTGTGGTTTAAATATAAATGAGCTACATAAGTTGATGTAACTGGTAAATTTATGGTATTGTGCATTAGATTTGAGTTATCGCCCCTATCACCTAGAGCAGTTATGAAGGGATATATTTAGGAGACAGTCTGTATCTTAGCTACAGGAAATAAATTTGAATAAACTTACCCTGAGATGTTTATTATACCAAAAGATCAAGAAACTAGTCCTTTCCTAATCATCAGTAGATCTATTAGAAATCTGAATAATTTTCAAATGGAACATACATTTTTGTAACAAACAGATGACAAGCAATTCATGAATTTTTTTTAGACAATTCCAGGACCCATTTTTTCCAAAATTACGCAGAGACATAGTGAAGTTCTATATTAAAGTTACTGAGGAGACTATATAGGCCACAAGAACTGGAAGTGAAAACTACCATGATAGTCAAACATTATTAGTTAGAGCAGAGATGAAAAGCAATGTAATCATATTGGATAACTGCACTTTGTAGCCATTAGAATCAACATGAATTTGTTTATTTTTATTGATCTGATTGATGTATATTTGATTGTTAAAAGCACATTCGCATCAAGCACAAGGTGATTTTTATTTTCACTTTTGGTTTCTGAGCAATATTCATTTAGGTATACATGATAGGATCAGATTAAGATTTTACACTGATGATTAAATTAGTAAACACTATGAATTCTTCTTTGACAGGTGATAGGAGTGGAAGCATTCCAAATGCAGCTATGAAATTCTACAGTGGAAGTTACATATTTCCTTTCCAATGGGATCAAGTTGCTACCACCTATTGGCAGAAATATTCCTTACACAAAAGGTATTGGACACCGAACTTTTCTTAAATGGTTTTCATGAATATTGCATTCCATTTTAATTTAAAAGAAAAAAAAACGTAACAGTGCCCCATTTTTTTCTTGATCTTTCCAATAACAAAGTCTGTCTTTTCAAATATTTCTTCACTCCCATCTGCAAGTTTTACTCTTTGGAATACATTTGATAGATTTTTAAGTTCAGTTACCACAAACAGGTCCTCTATAATTAACGTAGGACAATCCTTAATGATATAGTGTACAACCAATCATTTTGGGTTTAAAAGTGGTCTCAGTTATAAAATTCATTTTTAATATCTGTTCAATGCCATTTATATCTATTTTAGTAAACATATCATTTCGGAGGATGTGCTGTCCCGTAAGATTATTGAAGGCAAGCTATTTACAAAGAGGCTTATCAACAAGTCTAATAATTCTGCTGAGAAGGTGGTGAACATGCTCTTCCACACCCGCGCCAAAAAGACCTGGGTCATAGAGGAGTCCATTGTAGATCCTGTCGCAAAAACAATGATTACTTATACACGAAACATAGGTTACAAGGACTTAGCTGTAAGTATAATATATACCATCAACCTACACACAAAACATAGGTTACAAGGACTTAGCTGTAAGTATAATATAAACCATCAACCTACACACAAAACATAGGTCACAAAGACTTAGCTGTAAATATAATATATACCATCAACCTACACACGAAACATAGGTCATAAGAACTTACAGCTTGTAAAAAGGCATCTTTTAGGAAAAACAAACAATATTTCTTGTGGTGGTAATATGATAAATACTATAAATCACACTAGACAAGAATTCTTTTAATCATAAATTTAAGTATTAATGAACAGTAAGGCATACGCTGCCAAATAATATGCCACAAACATTGAGCAATTTTCAGTTAAGGCCAAACAAATAATGGGCCACAAAAATTAAGCTGTTCACAGTTAAGGCCTGATAATTAGTCCACAGAGTTAAGTTTTGAAGAACATTTTATTTTGCTTTTTTGATTTTATAGATCCTGATGTCTTTTTTTTCTTCTTCTTCTTCCTCCTCTTTTTATTAAACTCGTAAAGATAATTGTTGAAAGTCAGCTATTGAAAAAAATCAATTTAATTTCTCATCTGAAGATCAGAAAACATATATCCCACCATTTTCTTTAGCAAATGTGCAAATATAACCATCACGGTTAAAAACAAATTAAGAAAAAGACTTTATAAAGTGTTGACATTCAGTATTTCTTGATTCACTTTGAAAGAAAAGTGACTGCTAGTACCTCTGAATTATTCCATAATATTTCCTTCAATTTCAGGTTGTTGAAGAAAAATGTGTTTACAAGGAAAGCGCAGAGAAAAGTGATGAAGTGATACAAATGAAGAAAGCTTGGATATATTCAAATCATTTCTATCTAGGTAGAATCATACAAAATCTAGTCTATCAAAAATTCAAACTTCGTGCGAATAAATCAAGTAGTGAATTCCATAGTGTCTTAACAAAACTGTTCAACATGGAACTTGTAGATCCTACAAATAATTCCGGTTTTGTACCTCTCTTAAAGGACCAGGACATTAAAGGGAAGGCAATTAGAGCCACGAAAAGTGTCGCACATAAAACACCAAAACTTTAATGTAATCATACTGTATGGATGACATGGACTGCTACGCCAGGGAAACATGAATATTTGAAAGCAAGGTCACATTCTTTCAGCAAGTTTGTGTTATTTTCATTGTCTTGATATTAAAAACACTTGGTGTTGGGAAAACCTGTTAGAACACCATGAAGAATGATATGTTAATGTGCGAGTGGAGGATGTTTTGTTTTTTTTTTAGAAGTGAAAATCTTAATGAAAAAAAAGATATGGTGTAAACAGTAAACAATACCAGTTTTCTGTTGGATTTTCAGAATGAAGTGATTTTGTTTCATGATTTGAAGATTTTTTATTTTGACTGTGAATGAAAGTTTCTATAAGAAATCTAGTGCTAAAGCTTCAGACTATAAATGGTTCTGTATTTAGAAATAATTCCTTGTTTCCTGTTGACTACTTTGTAGTGCTTCGTTAAGGAAATATTCCATGGTCATCAGAGTGTACAGAGCTTTTATAGATGTGTGTGATGTATTTGCTTTTTCTTTTAAACCTGTGTGATGAAATTGGTATTAAGTTTGCATAAGAGAGAAATTTGAAATGTTATTAGTAAACGGTGGTAAGTTTATATCTGTGTTGTGTAATAGAAAATTCTTTATTGGGTTTTAAACTGATTATGTCCAGCATTGTTACAAATTGAGTAATATATACATGTATCTACCTCAGGAACTCACTACCACAGCAATGAAGTCAGGACAGTGCAACTAAAGAAGTACACAGGCATTCATGCTTCTAAATTTATTCAATTCATGGTTTTGAACCCTTTTACAAAAACTCAGCTTTCATTTTCCCATAAAAAACATTTTAAGTTGTTGATAGAACACAAGTTTTGTATAAATGTGTTATATCTACCATGGAGTTTTAAAAGAGAAAGAATGGTGTGTTTCTGTGACCAATTTTCACTCCTTTGAGGTATGAACATTTATCATCGTAAAAACATGTAGTTTTAAAATTCGGCAAGAATTGTCATCTGTGCCATATTATATTGTAATGAGTCAATTGAGTAATTGTACTATGAAGATCCCAGATTTCTTAAAAGAACATCATTTTTTCAGCATTACATTCTGTATATTTTTTGGTCAAAATTACAGCAGTAATTACGGTACTATTCAAAGCCTGTAAGAACCCAGGTAACGGTTTGTACACCTTAATTCTACACTTTCTTATTATTACCTGAATTTCTAGACAAACTTAGAAAGGGAAACATAATAAAAATTGAAATCAACATGTTATAAGGGAGAGGATGAGGGTGAGGGAATCCCTGAAGTCCATTCTATTGCATGTTAATTTACATTACAATCACAGACAAATATGCTTGGAGAAAGGTAAAAATTACTTGTATATGTATGGTACCTTATGGTTTATGTGTAGAAAACTTTCCAGAAGTGATATGTATGTTCATCACTGATACTCCAGGGGTTACAATCACTTTCACTCTTTGCTCCCCTGGAAGGCACAAGTGAAGTATTTTGATTGGTCCCAGGAGAAAACTAACTGACCAATCACAGGCTGATAGCTCTTTTTGAAGAGTACAAAAGACCAACACCCAACTTCAAAACCAATACAATATACTGTTATGAGACCTCGAGATTTGTTTGATGTAAATCAAAGGCTCAAATTAGCCTTTTCGTCTTGTCCACAAGGTGTCTCACATGGAAACTTCAATTCTGCCAAGTTCCAGAGGGGTGCAGAAAGTGAAAGTGATTGTAACCCCTGGAGTATCTAGAATGATGTATGTTGGATTGCTGGAATAATGCTTTTATGTTAACAATGGGAAAAAGGGAATTTGCAAGATCCCTATTACTCATGTGATGTTTACATATTTATCATCTGTGATTGAAAGATTATCAGCTTTGTTCCTAGAGATTTTGTTTTATCTGGTTTAATGGATTTGCTGTTCAGGTATGAAGGGATTTGTATGTGATTGTAAAGTTAGGTAAACCCTTGAATCCTGCTTCTGTAAGTAACTACTTCCATTTTGAATATGAATGAGATATTAGATTAGAATTTTTAGAAGTTTCACGATTTTGTAGTTCTGTAATTTCTGTAGCATGCATTTTGAAATCACACTTGAAAGAAAAATTTAATTTAACAAAGTTAATATTGAGTGTAGAATTAAAACAATGATACTGTTTCACCTACACCTGTAACAAGATGTGACCAGTGTGTGTACATACATGTATGTGTGTGAATTTGCACACATGTTGGTGTACTCAGAGAAAAATAGTGCTAGTTATCTACAGATGCCATTTATTAATAAAAACAAAATGAGATAAAAAGCATTTGTTGTTTCATTTTTATCACTACTGGTCTGAAGGACTGGTGAGTAAATACCATCGTGTGACGCCCACCATGAGTCCGCCAACATTGTACTAAAAATCACTACTAGTCATGAACGACTAACAGATTTTGTCCAAATTTGGGATTCAGGAGAGAAGAGGAACCAAATTTGTATAGAAATTGGTTCTTGGCCCCCAGGGGCCAGAGGAGTGGCCATAGAAGGGGAAATAGAGTAAATTCTTTAAAATTCTACTCCTTCTGTAGGAATTAATGAATATTGTCCAAACTTGGTATGAAGCATCCTGGGGCGGGAGAAGTGGGGCTCAATAGGAGAAATAAAGTAAATTCTTTGGATATTGCCCAAATTTGGTCAGAAGCATTCTTGGGTGAAGGGGAATCAGTTTTGTATAAACAGTAAGTATTGATCCCCCTTGCAAGGGAAGACATGACCAAATAAGGGTAATAGAGCCAATTCTAGAAAAAGATTCTAGTCCCCTTGTAGGAATAAATTGATTTTGCCCAAATTTGGTCTGACGCATTGTTAGGTGAAAGAGAATCAATTTTATATTAATGTGTCTCTTGGCCTCCTAGGGCGGGATAGTTGGATCAATTTCGAATTATAAGCTCTGAAAAATACATCTTCCATACAAAGGATATTATGGAAGTTTTGTCTGAAACAATTTTTATGAATAGTGACTTACTTTTGTACTAGTGTAGGGTATACATCAAGGTACTGAGGGAAACATGTTGTACGGTCCATCACAGACCCCCATACTAGAGTAGGGTCTACATCAAGGTACTGAGGGAAACATGTTGTACGGGGATCGGTCCGTCACAGACCCCCATACTAGTGTAGGGTCTACATCAAGGTACTGAGGGAAACATGTTGTACGGGGGATCGGTCCTACACTGAACCCTGTGTGTACAAGGATTGTTACTGTACTATACCTGCTTGTTACATCTAAGTAATATGTAAGTATGTTGGGAGAAGGCGTTTCTGAGTCGGGATTATTTGTGCCTGATTTGTTTGATTGAACAAATAAAATATAGGAAATCAGTCTGGTGAACCACTATTAAATTGGTAGATATAGATTGGTTGTAACACCCTGATAAATTTTGAAAAGTAATTTTCTTTCAATGTGATGTAGAGTACTATACGGGTTATAGGAGACATTACAGACAATCCAGAAGGACCAAGCACATGTAGGACCACCTTGTCGTATACCTTCCAGACACCATTTTTTTTTTAAATTGGAAGAAAACCAATTTTCTCTTCATTCTATTTTCTATATATGAAGAAGAAGAATTAATTCATTTATGAACTCACCAGTTACTGGTACCTGTAATCAATGCTGTTTCCAGGCATTCATAAGTCTGTATGTTTATACACTGAATCCTATACTAATCTTTACTTATTTGGCAGAACAAACGTAAGTTGTCTCTAAGATTTATCTTATGACAATTTAAAGCTTGTTTTTTTACAATGCCTTTTTGCTGTATTTTTCACATCCAAACTCTATTTTCAATGAGGTTTTTCACATCTGTTTAGTCCATAAGTATACATACACGTAACTAGTTCTCAGTTCTCTCTTTTGGTATATACAAATATTACAGGTCTTACATGTAAGAAAACATGTTTTGTCCGTCGTTCTCAAATTCCATTAATGGGATTGAGCTGACATGACCCTGACCGATTTTTGTTATTTTTCAGGTCAGTGCGAAATCCAATATGGCCGCCATCTAGAAAAAACAAAGATTAAAACTTTGTTATTTTTCAGCCTCATCAAAAGCTATGATAATGCGATCATGGTTTCCCTGGACAATACATGTTCTAAACTTCTTTCAAAACTCAACAAGATGAAATTTGTCTGAAATGATCTTAAGATTATTTTTTGGGGAGTCGACCTAAAATGCAATATGGCCGCCATCTTATAAAAACTCATTTTAAACTCCATTTTAAGTTCCACTGTAGTCATTAAGCTGAAATTTTTGGGGAATGTTCAGAAACTCAAATTGGGAGTATTTTTGTTTTCTTTCTTTCTTAACGGCTTAAATATTTTATTTGGCACTATTTTAATCTGTTGTTATTGATCATATATATAGTGTAATTCTAGTCTAGTGACCTTGTTATGGACGTTTACCTTGCCTGGTGCTTTGAAATATAAAGATATGGTTTGTGCTGACCTGGAGAGATAACACTCGCCAGGTAATTACATACAAGATATAAGTCCAACGAACTGCCACTGAACTGAGAATGGTGCTAAATACCGATATGGGTATAAAAAGACAATTGTCACGCAGTGTCTCCGTCGTTTCCGGTACCCGCCCTTTCCGGACGTTTGGACGTTGTGTCGGTGTGGTCGCTGTTATGGCAATCGGAATTATATGTGGTCATTTCATGTATCACTACCTCGTGACGCTCGACCACGTGACTTTTGATCCTGATCACGAACAGGTTGTGAGACGAGATACGAACAAAAATGTAGGAAAATCATCTGTACTAAAACCGGAAGTGGCTTCATCAAAACAAAAGATGCCACATGCAAAGAATATACACGAACCGAAGGATAGAGATGGAGTGGAAATCAAAAAGGATATGAGTGTTCAGTTCCGTGACTATATTCCGAGGAAGGTGTTTGTGAATTGTGGCGGAACATTTCCGTTAACATTGGAATTATTCCACAAAACATATCCCGACTCTCATAAGTATGACATATTTACTTTCCTACCCGACGAATCTTATTCTTTATTCTATCAATCATACCTAAAACATACACTCTACACACCAAAAATTGTCTATACACAGAAAACGAAAATCGAAGCAACAAACAATGGTTTTGCCAGCATGGTGGAACAAAGAGACATGATTGATACCGTGGATCTGGTCACCTGGCTTTTGACCAACCTCCATCAGGACGATTACGTCATACTCAATCTGGACAGCGAATTCGAAAAGGATATTGTGAAAGATATTGGCTCAAGAAACGCTGTAGAATGGATCGACAAATTTTACACAACGTCAGAAGATAATAGTACCATAACTGCCTATCGGAATGAACTTGGAATATTCAACAAACAAGTTTATTTTTGGAACAGTTCGGCTCAGACTTACTCAGACTTTGACACCGTGAACTCCCCCGGGATTCCAGAGGGATTAGGCGCCGTGATGTCAAGTTGTGTAGATCCCGCAGATTCGGAAAAATTCGGATTGTTCCTTTTCTCAGAATATTTTAACAGTGCTGTTAACCTGACGATAAACACGTTGGCTGTATATGCTGGGGAACGGAAGGTGGGATTGTCAGTTTTTCTTCCTGTTGATTTCTATAGCTCTGCATCAAGCAAAACGCTGAGAGAATTATCTGAAACTGTGACACTTGGACTCTTTCTTGGAAACGCAAATCAACCACATGAGGGAACAGACAAAATTGGAGAAGATTCGGAACTCAATAGCTATAGAAATAAATATGTCGAAGCTGCTGGTAAGGTTCAGCGTCATACAAACTCTATTGTACAATACGTTATGGTCTCCTCGACAACTGCCGCCTCTACGTGTCGAAGACTTAGTCAATCCCGTCATGTGACTGTTTTCAATGAAACAAAATCTATCACACACCATGCACAAACTATTTTAAGAAATGGCGTTCTAACAATGGATATGATTGGACGATTTCGTGGACAAATCCTCGCCATTGATTTGATGAAAGACAACGCTGATATTTTGACAATATATATGACTAAAAGATTCGAACCGTGGTTGGTACCAGCTTCTAAATGTCAATCTCTTACTAGCTAGGGTTAGAGATAATGTATTTTTAGCCGAGTTTGGCTATTGTCCTTTGAAAAAGTAGTGTGTTTTGGTGTTTCTTTGTATAACAAAAGTCCATAGATTTTCAGCATACCTTTTCGATGGCGTGTGAAAAATTCCACTTGTAATTTATTTGTGCAAAAGCGGATGATCGGCCGATGGTTTTAGATAATACCCTGCACGGTTTGTGGATGTTGTTACTTCGTTCTACAATAAAAACGTTTTCATTGGCGGATCCAGTGGGAGGCGCACCCGGCGCACACCCTCTCTTAAATTTGCCCAATGACCGTTATTTGCAATAATGATGAATTGAAATTACATCATCACACCTCAGTGTATGAGTCTTATGTAATACGGCACTTCAAATTACATACGGATTTCTCATTTGAGGACAATAATTATTTGTATTCGCAAAACATTTCAGGGTTACGCTCCGACCTTGGAAAATTTACTTTTATGATTGCTGTCAAGTATGTATGACTTTTATTAAATTCACTATCAAAATGATGGTCTTTTATAGTGTAGTTTTATTTCTTGAGGATCGGTTCGCCCTACTTGTAATGTAATCCGCGAGTATCGAACTCGAAGCTTGAACGATTATAAAAAAAGGATTCATTTCAGGGAAAATCTGGAAACTTAAGAGAGATGTCGGACAATATAAATATCTCAGTTAACAAAAATATGCCGCCCCTCTACGGTATTATACTCTGGTGTGGTAGTTTGTAACGAGAATTTCCAACAGAGAAAGATGAATTTTACAATCTCTTCGGCACAATTACATCCAAGAAAGTTGAATTTTATCATCTTTACGGCACAATTACCACCAGAGAATGATGAATTTTATAATCTTTACGGCACAATTACCACCAGAGAATGATGAATTTTATCATCTTTACGGCACAATTACCAACAGAGAATGATGAATTTTATAATCTTTACGGCACAATTACCAACAGAGAATGATGAATTTTACAATCTTTACGGCACAATTACCACCAGAGAATGATGAATTTTACCATCTTTACGGCACAATTACCACCAGAGAATGATGAATTTTACAATCTTTACGGCACAATTACCAACAGAGAATGATGAATTTTACAATCTTTACGGCACAATTACCAACAGAGAATGATGAATTTTACAATCTTTACGGCACAATTACCAACAGAG